ATGTAAAGCCAACACTTTCATTAGGGTTTAAAGGAGGAATTCACGATTAGAATGAAGGTCGAAGAAAGGGAAACTGACCTAGTTGAGGGACCCACGGACCTCCTGAGGGTGCGAACTGACGCGCAATTCGCATGGAAAAATTTGACCTCGGCGACCTATCATGCCTCAAAGCTGGCGGGTCCGGCGATCTCCGCCCACCGATCATCTGATCACTCGCCGTAGTTCAATACGTGGCGAGTGATTAGATAGCTGAGAGAGCGTAGTGTTGAAGAGGGCACAGCGATGAGAGTCGCATCAATGCTCAAATCAACGGGCAAGGAAGGGGTACCATTTCTCGGGTTCTGGGCCGTTTCTCATGGTTCTTCCTTCTTTCGTGTACCACTCACCATCCCTAGGTTAATTTGAAATGGGTTGCTTTTTCATCGTGAATTCGTCCTTTAAAGATCGAATCACACGCAAAAAAGAAAAAGACTTCTCTTAAAAAAAAACAGAGCAAAAGACAACACGAGGCACTTATGAGCACTTGAAAAAATCGAGGATGTAGTGCGGAACCGAAATTTCAGTGGCACGAATCGATCGGAAGTCGCCGACTGCGCGCCAATTACGCATCTTGCGCCAGAGGGCGTGTTGACGCATTTCACTCTCTCCGCGCGGTCCGCACGGACTATAAAAGCAGCCTAAAGGCTCGGCCGGGGTTGTCGCTATATTTTGAAATTGTCGCCGTGGCCGCGAAATATAACGGCCCCTATGACTAAGCCTCAAAGGCACAGACGAACAGAGCGCTGCGCCATCGCGTGGCCCCTTCCAACTACGTTAGCTTCTTATCATTTATCAACCATCGGCTATCATTATAAATCACTAATTATCATATTCACTTGGAGGCCGTCGTCATTCTGGCCGCCGGATACAAAGGGTTTATACATATATGTGATGTGCATATGCATTGGAGGTCTCATCGTTTTCATTAATGTATGCAGTTATTAACGGTTACCAATTCCAGAGGACATATCTAATTTATTTTCCTAAAAGGAAGTTGCTTTGAGAGCAGAAAAATATATTCATGTACTTCACATTTTTTGTAAGCATATTCAAAGCTAGTGTGCATAATGTTGTCTGAGTGTGATTTCTCATCGTTTTCATTTGTTTACTTTGCTCTTGATGTGTTTACTTTTTGCATAGAAATTTGCTTATTGTTTGTTTTTGGATCAGTCACTGAATCTCCTATTTCTAGAGACGTGAGAACTTTTCTTTTTTTCTTCATCGATTGATATCAATAAATAATGGGTTTCTTGATAGCTAATGGGATCAGATATTGTGCAACAACGCTCTTTGTTCCGCAATAAAAAAATGTTCCTTCCTGCGCTCACATCATCAGCGAAAGAGTTAAAGGACGAATTCACGATTAGAATGAAGGTCGAAGAAGGAGTAATTCACCTAGTTGAGGGACCCGCGGACCTCCTAAGGGTGCGGACTGAAGCGCAATTGGCACCGAAGGAGTTGACCTCGGCGACCTATTAAGGCTCAATCTTGGCGCGGTGGGCCAGTGCACGCCCACCGACCATCTGATCACTCGCCGCAGGTCTATACGTGGAGTGATTAGATAGTGAGAGAGCGTAGTGTTGAAGAGGGCACAGCGATGAGAGTCGCATCAATGCTCAAATCAACGGGCAAGGAAGGGGTCCCATTTCTCGGGTTCTGGGCCGTTTCTCATGGTTCTTCCTTCTTTCGTGTACCACTCACCATCCCTAGGTTAATTTGAAATGGGTTGCCTTTCCAGCGTGAATTCGTCCTTTAATATTAATGCTATTTATTTTTTACTGAATTCGAAACATTTAACAAAATTCGATTTGGTAAGGTAAGCTAATAATTAACTGCATGGAAAACTAGAAGTTGCTCTCAATAAAAGGATAGCAAATGCAATGAAGAATCATTTGAACAAAAGCAGGTGCTATCGCAATATAGGGGGGGGGGATTTTGCGTAAACGTGAGCATTTTGCTCAAGTCGTAGTTACACACTTGTCAATACCTGATTAAAGTTCAGAAAACGTTTAAATGTGTACATTCTGACCCAATGCCAGCGGTTTCATTCTTATGTATTCCGCTTTTTTTTGACTTTGTAATATTTATTCGTTTTGAGACAGTGGAGCACACTCTAGGACTAAACCCGGGAATATATGGTAAATGGAAAAGGAATTATCCTCACAATCTGGAGCCTCTTCTTCTCCAACTAGGATAAGCCTCACCTTAGGCAGGAACCACGGATCTCTTTCACTGAGGGTCCTCTCTCACTGAAAGATCTCGAGCCGGTTGGTGGCGAGGCTACGTGGCGCGACCCCAGGTGGCGGATAGGGGGT